AGAGAGCTGCAGAACAAAGATCTTATAAAATGAAGCAGTAGTTACAGCTCAGTTCCTTTGTCTTGGAATGTGCACAAGTCGCTGTGGATGAGACAGTTAAGCATATCGCATGCTGATATCCAGTGTGGCAAAGTGTTAGCCAGGGGAACAGCACAATTAACTTGAAAGCACGGCTTTCTCCATGTTTCTTCACACGGTGTAGTTCTGTGTATTCAAGTAACGTATCAAGCTCAAAGAGCCAGCCTGGAGAATTTAGTACAAGTCACACCATTCTAGTGTGCAGAAGGAAGACTCGGTCGTTTTCTCTCCTCCGTGTATGGAGAAAGGGAGCTGTGCTTACAGATCGAATTAAACTTTCTAGACCCAATTTATTAGATGAAATGCAGTTCTAAAACATTTAAATATTTAAGAAGTGTTTTCCATTCACTGGAGATTGATAGCCCCAAGGATTGTCCTGGAGTTAAAGGCATTCATGGTCTTTGTTGATTCATTGGCAGAAACATGAAGAAGTTAGTGAAAGGAAAATCACTTGAGAATTCATGTGATTTGGCAGGAAAATAGCTCTGGACTAAGGGTGAGGTATTTCTCATTTTTGCCCCAGGACCATCTTCAGATCTATAGCCTCGGATTGGCTAAGCCTACATAGTTTCCAGGCATGCATCTTCAACACGGACCCCTGCTCATCCAGGACTAATCATCTCTTGCATGACCTGGTAGTGGTTAAATTAGAAGGAAGGCATTAAAAATGTGTAACAAGGCCCAGTGCAATGGCTGATTGGCTAAATCCTCCCTTTGCAACTGCAAGGATCCCATATGGGCAAACAGTTCATGTCTGGTTGCTTTGCTTCCTATCCAGCTCCCTGTTTGTGGCCTGGGAAAACAGTAGGGAATGGCGCAAAGCCTTTGCAATACCAAGTGATGCCGACTCCAGAAGGTTTATCAAGTACCTGGACTGCTTCTGCAGCAGCAGATTCCTGAGCTGTTGCTGTTCAGCCACCATTTTCTCATTGAGACGTGTGTGTTGTGCCCAGTTGCATTAGAGTTTTGGGTGTGGTAAAGCTACAGTGACCATAGTGGCTCAGCATGATGACAGCTGCTGGGCAAAGGGAGATGACTGGGTAGAGGAGGGGAATGAGGTGTGCAGATTTTTCACTCTCATTGTGAATATGCACAGCAAGATCAAAATGCTAGGTATGCTTCCTGTGTGTGTGTGCCCTGCTCCATTGCTCAGTTCCGTACTTGTAGGCCAGCATCTTTGGCCTGGCAGGCTTCATCTGAGTTGATTGCTTGAGTTGAACGCATTTACTTACAATATAAGTGAATTTTCAAACCCATCCCACCCGCTATGGGTCTGAAATAAATGTTGATTGTCTCTCCAGCAAGTGCAACTCTAGCCTTCCAAGAGGAGATCAAAACAGCATGCTTCTAACACATTCTCTGTTTTCTGCTCTTTTTCCACCTGTGGATTTATGAACATGTTCTTTCCAATTATCATGCTAATAGCCCATTTGTCTCTTCTGTTGTGGTGTTTGATTTGCTCACCTGTGGATGGTTCTCTGTAAGAAAGGGTGAGCTTCTGTATTCTGCAATCATGAAACTCCGTGCATCAGGTCCCCCAGTGTGTGCTGGGTGATCCCTCAATCTGAGAGTGCACAGTCCCTCCACCAATCGCAGTTCCAAATGGTTTGTTCCTACTGACTTAACGGCTCAGCTCTAATTGAATCCTGATGGGAAGCTGGGTTACTATCTAAAGTGGGCCTTCTTATTTTGCCAGGATGGTGGTGAAGGGTCCATTTCTTTGTGTTCTTTTAAAAGATGTGTTTATATATTTGAAGGTGGCCCACTCAGTTGGGCTGGGCCTACAGAATTCATTGGTTTGCATGAGAGATGGAGGTGGAAACAGAACTGACCTAGGGGAAGGATGTCTTCTAATCACCATGATTATTGGTGCAACAAGGGCGAAAACCTCAGCCATTTTAAAGCTTCAGCCATCATAACACCTTGTCTCATAGCAGATCAATACCACCGTGGACTCCTCTACATTCAAAACAAAACCAAGCACACAGCCAACCCTGTACTAGTCCCCATCTCACTCCACCCTCTGCGTTTATTTCATCCACCGAATGTGAGAAGCCTATAAAAGCTACCTCAGCCCTGCCCACTGCCCTCTACTCAAAACGCTACAGCTCCCCAAAATTGGAAGAGAGGGTCTCTGACAGGAGCTCGCTCCTTAGGGGTGCTGGCAGCTGGCCAGCTTTGCAAATGTATTTCCCTTTAATAAATTCATTGTGATTATGAGTTTGTACACTCTCTTATTCCGTGCTTCTTTTCTTACGCTTAAGAACTTGTTGTATATGCTATACTACACACCGGTATGTAAATGTAAATTCTAGAATCACTTGATTAAAAACTTGAGAGAAAGATGTGTGTGTGGGGATAACTGGTTGTCTTCTAAGAAGACTGCCAGTTTGTTGTCCTGGCAGCAAGGAGGGAGCAGTTCCGTTTATCGCCTTCCTGCAGCCTTCGCTGTTTTTATTTGGGTGTTGTTGATTTTTGATGTTTTGTTTATTAATTTGTTATTTGGGAAGCAGAAAAATAGAGAGTTCCCATTTACTCTTTCACTCCGTAAATTCCAGCCGTGAGCCAGGATGAGTTGAGGAGGTTGGGAGTTTGGAATTCAAGCCTGGTGTCCGATGTAGATGAGCCGGACTCAGTTACTTGAACCAGTTTCCTCTTATGGGTAGTAGGCTGAGGGAGTCGGCACCCCACAAGAATGTGAAACTCAGTGAGTTTGGAGCACATGGAAGTCACAGTGTGTTAACCCCCAGGCTAAATCCCTGCTGTACTTGTTGGCTTCAGTAGGATTTCCTACTAGAAGTTAGGTTTTCTCCAGGGACTGATGTGCTTCAGCTTTCCATGTCCCAGTGAGCAATTTCTTTATATATTTTAGTGAAGCATTAAAGTTTTGTGTTTATATATTATGAAAGATATTTTTAGAATCTGTGAGTTTGATGTTTTTAATTGATACAGGATTTTTAAGTTTGTATATTTATTCTTTGTTCAGTTTGGGTAGCTTCCATCTTGCAAGTAGTTCTGTGTTTCCTTTAGATAGCCTAATGTAATGCATTGATGTGAGATTGGTCCTAGCACCCTCTTTGCACCGTGTACCATTCAGAACATTAGCAGCCCTACCCCTCCCGCCCTCTCATTCCACCTGTGGTCCTTTGTGACATTGGCCCTAGCATCCTCTTAGCACTGTGTAATATTTAGGGCATCAACAGCCCTACCCCCTTTCACTCCATCCATGGTCCTTAGTGACTACTGACTTTTTGAGAAGTCTGGTTGTGGATTTAGGTTTTCTATTGATCTTTCAAAAAACAATGCATTTTCATTACATTATTTTTCTCTATTGTTTTCAGCTTCATTGATCTTTTTAATGTTTATGTCTTTCTGTGTATTTTTCAATATTTGTTCTACTTTTATTTTCTTCGTCTATGGGTTTTAGTTGTGGAATTACATATTTCTTTGAAATAGTAGCATATAGTGCTTTTTTTCTTCTAAGCACTTCTTTATAACATTTTGATATGTTGCAATTTCATTTTCATTTAGCTAAAAACACTTTTGAAAGGCTTTTTTGAGAATCGAAACAAGAGAGAGAGATTGATGAAGGAATGGAATGAGACCGAGAGAGACAAGTTCTTGAATTTGCTGTTTTATTCCCCAAATGGAAAAATAAATTAAAAAATAAATGAATAAAATTTAAAATACCAGGGCTCAGCCAGGCCAAATTCGGAAGCCAGGAAATCTGTCTGTGTCACTCATATTGCTAGCAGGACCTACGCTTTTTGTCCTATCTTCTCTGCCCTGCAAGGTGCATGAGCAGGAAGCTGGATGAGAAGCAGGGCGCATGGAACTTAAAGCACAACTCATACAGGGACGCTGGTGTCACAGTGGTTATTTAGCTTGCTGTTCCACAACCCCAGCTTTGTAAGTTAACATACTGTTTGAAATTTATCTGACCATGAGTTGATTATTTGTTCATTGGAAGAATGAGAGAGAGAGGAGGACAGAGAGGGGAATCTCACTCCTTCAGAGGCTGAAAGTCAAAACTTAGACCAAAGTCAGGAATCGGAAACTTCATCCTGGTCTCCCACATGAGAGGCACAGGGTCAAGTGCTTGAGCCATGTGCCATTGGCTTTCCAGGGTTGTAGCAGAAAGCTGTATTAAACTGTGTTAGAGGTAGAACAGCTAGGAAGTGGAACCAGCAATCTGATACATGAGCACTGCAAGCTTGCTGCAGCCCACATCACTCCACTGTCCCAACAGGCCAGTTACGTGTATATAGGTTAACTTACAAGCATTTGGAGAATTGCTCTTGTCCCTCTCAAATTTCCCACTCCTCTCCCAATACCCCCTATGAAATTATAATAGTGTAGTCCTTCATAAACAGCCATAAGTCCATCATTCAGCTATTTGAGTATATCCTGATATTTTGGGCATGGACAATGGCAGAGTGTCCAGCATCCTATTGTCCAGATATATTTAACAGTTTCTTTGGGAGTCCATCTTCAATTTAGAAATAGAGAGACATAATATATTGTATCCTCACATCTGGACATGATAGTCTCTATTACACAGTTGCCATACGTCCCCTTAAATGAAAAGCCACAAAACAATATCAACAAGAAGAAGGGAAATAGAAAATTTACAACAACATGAAGTTAAATAACATACTACAGGATGGACAATGTGTCACTAAAGAAATGAGAAAGTAAATAACCTTCTTGAAGAAAACGATGCTACTGTGTGACCTATGAGTCGGTGGCAGGGCGTTTCGTGCCCTGTGTCTGAGCAGCGGCCCACCTCATGGCTCCCTGAACTCAAACACCAGGATGAGTTCAATCTCAGGATCCAGCAGGACCCGCTCTGCAGCACCTGCCACAGCATTCTGCTGTATCCTTGGGAACGCTGGTTCTAATGCTTCCTCCTCTCTCCGCAGGGGGCCTCTGCATCGCCCAGTCCGTGAGAATACCGCAGGAACGAAAAGACAGAAGCATCGACTTTGACCGAATCATCAGACAGCTCCTGGACACCCCCAACTCCAGGGCCGTCGTGATTTTTGCCAACGACGAAGACATCAAGTAAGGGTGGATGGTGATCTGGTTAATACGTGTTTTGCAAACCAAAGAGGGACTGGAGATAAGGACGCTGGCAGGGCACCAGGGAGGCTGGGGGGGGGGGGCGGCTAGAGCAGCTGTCCCAGCACAGCCAAGGCTGAACAGGCTTTCTGGTCGCTGCATTCGACCAGGGAGGTCCCAGTGTGTCACCGTTAACAATGAAAGCACACTGTTATCGGAGTGACGAGAGCAAACACTGGACATCTTAAATTCATAGCTTAGTGTAACAGAAACGGTTTCTTTTAGTGTTACAAAAAAAAAATCCTCATCCACCATGGCTGAACTTGACCTCACTATGTTCAGAAACAAACACGTCCCAGCTCAGCTTGCTCCGGTCCACCGGCCCTTTTTTATTGCTTCTCTCAAACCCACTGAAGCTCAGAAATCAGCCTCAAGTCTTGACTTGCTTGGTAACCAGCTGTTGCGTTCCTGGCTAAGCCATGTCTCGCCAGTCTGAGATGTTTCTAGAACATAGGTGCTCCCTGCTTTATTTTGTGAACCTTACCACCATAATCTAGAATGATTTTCTTGTTTATTTGCCTTGGAGTAAGTGGTGTTAACACTTGATTATCAAGTTAAAATCCTAGCAGAATCCTGGCCAGCACAGTGCTGCCTGCCCCATCTGCTGCTGGTCAGGATCTGTCACCCCAGAGTTGGTGCCTGCTGGCTAACTTCCGACCGTGCTGGGGAGCCCCTTGGATCCTCTTGGTGGGTGTGAGCATCCTCCCCTGCAGGTTGGGGTCTTTGGGCAGCACCCCAGCAGGGAGGGCCCTGGCTAGCTACCGTCTATCCTGTGTTCCAGTTGATAAACTATGCATGCACTGTTGTTCATTTAGCTGCTCCCCTTCTGGTTGGCAACTCTTTTTTAAAGGCTATCATTATTATATAATTTGTGTGCTAGCCAAAATGCATGCATCTAACGTAATTTTTTTTTAAACCTGCACAGTAGTTTCAAATATGTAAAGCAAATTGTGAAGGGGCACAGTGGGTCCCCTATATTTGTGGTAATTATTTATCATTTTTAACAGCTATCACATAGTGTAAGTAGTAAGATTAGATATTTATGTTTGAGTCCGGCTTCTCATCTTTATAAATACTGCTTTCAAGAACTTCTTTTCCTATAAACGTGTGCTGAAATATGAATGTACAAGTAGATCATATCAATGTACTTTGTATTATACAATATATAAGCACATGATATTAATATACAAATGCAAAATAATGTCCAAACATGTCATATTATGCATTTATCTTCTGAGCATTTACAAGATAGATTCCTAGAAAGGGAAAATTTTGTAAGACAAAGATAGATGTCTGCTTCACTCAATGCAAATATTGTCTCCCAGAGAAATAGTGCTTATTTGCAAATGGCTCAGTGTGTGAGCCTTAAGTCTTTGCCTGTCTTGTATTTCACAAGAGCATGCTGTTTCAAAGTCCTTGACTGTTACATCTTGCCTGAACGTTTTACTGTCATCGTCCGCTCCTGCGGCCCGTGCCTCTCCTCTCTGCGTGTCCTTCCACACCGCTCCTGAACCTCTTCCCACCGCCCATGTCTGCCCACAGGCATCGAGGCTGGACTGCGAGCTGGAAAGAGTGTTGTCCACACTCCTGAGGGTCCGATCCGTCTTTGGTGAACACTGTCACCATGGGGAGGTCTCCCCGTGACGGCAAGCCTCCTGGGTATCAGGTCATCTGTCATTTAGATGCTCATCTTAGGGTTCCTGGCTTTGTTCCAGCCGCTAGCTGGGTTTCCTCCCTGGAACATTTGTGGCGTGAGCTTCAGGGATCCTTTGCAATTCCTTTACCCCATATTTTTACGTCTGTCTTGTGAGGCTTCCAGAAGGCTCTTCCTCCATTTCAGCATTTAGGCTCACATCTAGTGTCGGTTCCTGGGCACTCGGTTCTAACAGCTAAGCCTTCAGAAATTCCTCCTCATTGCTTCATTGTTTATGTCACTTGTGCCATTTTATGTGCATGACTCATTTAGAGTTGTGTTTTATTTATCTTTCAAATGTAAACATTTTATATTTAAATGTAAAAATTTATTTTTTAAGAAATTAAAAAGATGGTTTATTTTATTTGAAAGGAAGGGTTACAAGGCGGGTGAAAAGAGGTCTTCCATCCACCCAGTGGCTCACTGCCCCGTTAGCTGCAATGGCTGAAGCCAGGAGCTGCATCAGAGTCTCCCGTAGGGCTGTGGAGACCCAAGGACTAGGACCATCTTGTGCTGCTTTCCCAGGCCATCAGTAGGAAGTTAGATCAGATTGGAGCAGCCGAATCTTGAACCAGTGCTTCTGGGGAATGCAGGTGTTCCAGGAGGCAGCATCACCCATTGCACCATGAGGATGTGTCAAGAGTTTGCGTTTTCATGGCAGTGTGTACTCATCACCCTGGCAGAGGTGAAGGCTTTTTAAGTTCATTTCAATACGTAGCCCAGTGTTCAGGCTGTGGGAGACACTCAGTCAAATGGCAGCCCATGAAATGAATGAAGTTCCCAGTATGCTGAATGCTGTCATCATGCGTTTCTCTCTGGACTGGATAACATTTTACCGTGAGGTCCACATTGAGCACCGCAGCCCATGTGTGTACTCACACACAATGCGTGCTTCTGCTTTGGCTCGAATTCCAGCTTCACCTCCTGTGTGGTCTGCTCTGGTCCTGTCTCGTTTCTGTCCCTTGCCTCATACTGAACCAAGACTGTGTTTCAAGGCCCATTCCATGTGCCTTTGTGCAGGGCCCTGGTTCGAATCAACCCTCATCACAGCCATGGTATGTTCTGTTCTTGGGAAATTTTTCATGCTCTCTTTGCATTTGAGCTATGGAGCTGCCGTTCTGTTCTTTCTCTCCTTTCTGCTCTGGTTTGTTTGCAGCTCTACCAATGCCTTTCTTGGTGACCTCATTCATCCTTTTCTTTCTCTCTCTATGCATGTGTAGAGTGGGTAGTGGGTTGCTTCCAGCCTTCTGTGTGTTTTCTTACCTCGTGCACTGCAGGCGAAGCAGCTCCTGTGGGTGCTCTGGGGAGGGTGTTCCCTGCTCGGAGGCAGCGTGGGGTGGATGTACGCCATCCCCTGGGGGGCTGGGCTTTCTCCCGGTCACAGCCACGGGGACCGGGTGCTTAATGTGACCACACGTTGTGTTTCTTGGCAGTCACAGCACTCATCAATGCTGAGTTCGACAAGCAAGTGTTTGACTGTTCTCCAGATGTGATCCTAGACAGTAAGGTGACAAGTGCTGATAACTCACACTCCACTGCTACTTCTTTTTTGAGGAAATTTACACTGCGGAATGGAAATTTTGAGCTTTCTTGGAACATTAAGTTCAAATGCTTTGTCAGACAATAGCAGTGAGAAGACATTAATATCTAGGTTTTGAAGCTCAGATGAGTGCTAAATCAGTCAAGGGTACTGGTAATTTGGATTTTAGAGAAAATTATGTCTCTGAAACACTTTGTTCCGAATACCAAAGCAACACCTGCCCCTTACATTCACTGTGATGGAAAACGTCATTTCTTTTCTTAAAAGGAACTCTTAAATGTTATTTTTCTCCTGCTAGCCTAGAAAAATGAAAGGTTAGAGAAAATCACAAACAATTTAAGATAATTTCTTATAAAACCTGCAACACCACGTTAAAGAAAACCACCAACAACATCAGTTACAATGTTTACCATGTTTTTTTTTATATATACACAATGTTTCCAAACCAAATCAGTGTTGTATAGAATTGTATTTGCGCTCTTTGCAGTTCACAACACAAACGAGTCATTCTTGTACCCTAAATGTTTTTAAATGGCTTAGTCCTATTTATCTTTAAAATACTCATTTATGCTTTCATTTATTGACCCTCCAGTTGATGACAACAGCCAGAGGTGGGTAACAAATTGCCCTCCAAGAATTTCCAACAATGCGTTAAATTAGCCACGTGTCCCTCGTGTGGGTATCGGCTGGAACTTTTGCTGGTGCTTCGCCCACCCTTCACGGCCCATGCTGCTCCAAGATCATCTGCTCATGCCTACTGTGTTGTTAACATGTCCGTGCTATCTTGCATTTTCTGTGCTCCATTCTGGCCCCATGGTTTGCACATACTGTGCATGTATGTGTACATGCTGGAATGTTTTGTGTAGTTCATACTAGGGAAGAATTGAATGATCTTTTAAAAGTGGCACCTTTGGGCCAAGATTGTAAATATCTGGTTGTCTCCTACATTATGAGAATAACATATGCTTAGGAAAAGAAGAGAAAGGAACAGACTGGAAACACTTTTGAAGACAACCTGCAGGCTGAGCCTCGGTCGGCTTCAGTGTGCTTTGCTCTGGCGGCTATTTGAGCCCTGAGCTAGCCTGGGGTTTCCTGCGTAGGGTTGATGCGTTGCTGTTTTAAGCTCGTTTTAAATGTCGTCTGTGAAATCCTCTCGGATAGAATCTGGGTCACCTGTATCTCCACTATCCTCCCAACGTTGTCCTGTCATATTTATTATGATTACATAAATATCAGGCACACCAGTGTGTGGGTTTTTTTTTTAATTTCTGGAGTGAATATGGTAGTGGTTATAGTTATAGAGTTATCTTAGTTAGCATCGTCACAATTTATTGATTTATTTGCAAGCGCATGACACACAGTTATACTAAGAGAGAGAGAATTGTATCTTCTAGTTCACTTCTCAAATGACTCCAAAACTAGTCCAGTTCTGAACCAGGAGTCTCCTCTGAGTGTCCCACGTGGGAAGCAGGGTCCCTGCACTTGGGTCATCTTTTTGCTGCCCTTAGCAGGGAGCTGGATCAGACGTGGAGCAGCTGGACACAAGCTGTGCACGTTAGGGATATTGACCTTGCAGGCAGTGGCTTGACCTTCTCTGCCAGAGCACCAGCCCCTGAATAGTTCCTTTTTTGTTTGTTTCATTAGTACTTTTTCTATTTCATTTTATGGCACAGTCTCATAGGCTCTGGGGTTCCCCCAACCGCTCCATAAAGCCCTCCTCCTATATTGGATTCTTCCATATTGTTACAGTAGAACAGTTCATGTCCATGTCATTTCTTCATTTCAGGAATGGACCATGCAGAGAGTCCAGCATCTTATTGACCAGATAATTTCAATAGTTTCATTGGGAGACCATCCCTGGTCTGAAAGTAGAGCTGGCAGAGTATCATCCCCTCCAGTGAAAAGCCACAACACAACTTCAACAATTTACAACATCATGAAGTTAACTGACATGATATTGAGTGACCAATATGTTAGAAAATGCAAGTTCTTAATCACATCCTGTGACTACCTCATAGACATTTCAATTTTAGTTTATACACAACTGGCTGCTATACACCTTAAAATGGTTATACTACTCAGCTGTCTCGTGTCTATTTTAATTTTTATATTTAGCAGCTTATAGTACTTAAGTGTGATGTTTACTGAACTTTGCAAGTTTTAGGATAGTCCAAACAGGCTTATAACTCAAACATGCCACATGTTAACAATTGAGGAGCAGAACAGTTTTAGGAGGGCTGTGCAGATAAATCTTCAATACCTTAGTGAGGAGTAACTGATCTTTGCGTCCTACTTAGTAAGGTATGTGGGGGTACAAGCTGATTTTTTTCTGTCTGCTCTAACCTTTCCTATTGCTCTCTGTATATCTGATCTAATTTTGGGGGGCTCTGGAGCGACCCTGATGGTCATTGCAAGAGAGGGTGGGGAGCCAAAGTTGGTACTAAGTAAGGACCAGAGAGCGCTCCTCTCCCGAGTCTGGAATTAATGTCAGCTTTGTCACTTTTTGTTATACATGTTCATGTATGCGTAATCTCAATTTCATCATTTTTCTTTGACACATCCCTTACAATAAAAATTAGCTTTCTGTCATTCTCCACTCTATTGTCCCTAGATCTTTAGTAATTTTTACATTTTTGGGTTTTATTTTCCCTGTATTTGAAAGGGTGACGTAGGGAAGGAGATGACTGTTGTTTAAGATTTTCCATCCTGTGACTATCCCAGTGGAAGTAACAGGTGGGGCTGGTCCGGGCCAAAGCTGGAAGCCGAGAGCTCATTCAGGTCTCCCAAGTGAGTCGCAGGGCCCTGAGTACCGAGCCTTAGCTGCCGCCACCTGTGCTGCACTTCAACAGGGAGTGGAACTGGAGAGCAGAGGAGCCAGGTCTGATACAACATCTGGACAGCGTCTCAGCTGTTGTGCACATGTCTGCCCCTTCAAGGAAGTGATTTACACTTGGGAATAGCGAAGAATGAATTACAAGAGTCCTATGTATCGGAAGTTTAACAATTTGATTTCGAACATGGAGCTCATTGCTAAGCATTGGAATTCTAGATTGTGGTTAGCAGTGTTATAGCACAGCTGGTCGCCATCTCCTGGAACTCCAGCATTCCGTAGGAGGCAGAGTCAAGTCTTTGCTGCTCCACTTCAGATCCAGCTTCCTGCTAGTGCACTTGGGAAAACAGTGGAAGATGTCCCGTGCAACCATATGGGAGACCTCGATGAAGTGCCTGTATCTTGACTTTGACTTGGCCAAGGTCCACTTGTTGCAGCCAATTCAGTAGTAAGCCAATGAATGGACATTCTCCCTCAAGTGCATGCAACTCTCCTTTTTCCCTCTCTTCTTTCTCTCCTCTCTTCTCTCTGTTACCCCTTTCCCCCTGTAATTCTGCCTTCTTCATCTTTTAACTTGCTTTTCATTGGCAGGTTGAAGTCATTGCTATGTCATCATTTTTGCGTTTACTGTAAAAATGGAAATACAGTGTCACTTAGAGATTGGTGAATATCAGCTCCTATTTCTCAATGTGTAGCTTGATTTTTGTCTTGAAGCTAGTTCAGGGTGTTTTCATGAATTCCTGATATAAATATCTCAATCATAAAAACTATATATATACATATATATTATACATATATATACATATGTATATATACATATATATACACATATACATATATATAGTTTTTACGATTGAGATATTTATCTTAGAAATGTATGCTTACAATTTGTTTTTTGTTAAAAGATTTCAAAATATATGCATATTTGCTCTGAATGGATCTTCTGCATTTGGTCCAGAAATGTTTTATCTTTTCTTAATTGATTCTCTAACTTTTTAGTGTTTAACATCCTAGAATTTCCTTCAGTTTCTTCTCACATGATTTTAATTCCACATTTTGAATAGCCATACGTTTTTGGATGTGGTTTCTTAGTTTCTTCGTATCTTATTCTTGCAATTGGCTCGATGATCCATGTGTCTGCTGTTTCTCTTTCGTTCCACTTTCCCTTTCATTTCCCTCTGTCTTTTCTGATTGACACCAGAGATCGTCCTCACTGTGCGGCTCCTGGCGTTCTATGATCGACTATGGCAGCCGCACCCAGGGTGTGTGGAGGAGGGCTCCTCTGCAGATCATGATGCCGGGGCTCTGGGCATGTATGCACACGGCTCTCTGTCACACTGTTTCTCTGTGTTGGGATCTATACTTTTTTGAAGGTGATTCTCAGTGTTCCAGAACATCTGCTGTCTGCCTGCAATGACAGGTGCCATGTTCCCGGTCCTCTGTAAGATGAAGATGCCCAGAGCACTCCTAAGTATATGTACAAACCTACTGATTTTAGTCAACTCGCGCTCCCCACTCCAGTTTGCTTTCATGATTTGAGGGTTCATGTTCTCAGAATATTGGGCATGCATTTTCTTTTCTCCTTAAAAATAAATAACAGTTCCATCTCCTAACTGGAAGAAAGTGAAGAGCCGGGGTTTGCTGTCATATTTGACATTGCCCTTCATGCTCCTGTCTAAACCCTGCACCTACAGGGTGCTTAACTTGCGTCTCCAGCTCCTAGTACACAACTTCCTTAATGACACTTTCATATTTTTTTTCTTAAAAATCTTGTATGCATTATGTATATTTTGGGGGTATATCATAGCTGCATGGATATACTTGTCAGGGATGTGAACACTGGTACTTCTCTGCATTGGTGTGTAGTTTCTGGAGAGGAACAGCTGGCACTTGGGCATGCTTCCTGCTGCGCATGGGTTCAGCACATGTTCCCTTAGCGTAATGTGCTTTCCATGTCCATTTCCTCAGGCAGATCCTTGCAGCAGCCAAGAGAGCGGACCAAGTGGGCCACTTTCTCTGGGTGGGCTCAGACAGCTGGGGAGCCAAAATCAACCCACTGCACCAACACGAGGACATCGCAGAAGGCGCCATCACCATTCAGCCCAAGCGAGCGACCGTGGAAGGTATGGCTGTTAGCACCTGCAGTGCTAGCTAAGGCGCTGGCCAGTGCACCAAAGCATGTGTTCCTTTGAGGATTTGGTGTTCACACATAATATATGCAAGGTGGTTTCAGACTTGTATTCATAAGATGCAAATGAAGCCACACCTGGTGTATTTTTAAGGCTGTATTTCTCTTGGGAAGACATCATGCTATTTTCATAATAATAGTGTGATTTGCATGTACTGTTGTCTTCCCTTCCTGGCATGGAGCTTTCTGAAAGGTAAGTATCATGGTTAAAAGAAGTGAAACGATAGCAGGTCTCAGTAGCTGTGCCTGCACTGCAATGTCAGAGAAAATGCTTCCCCAGAGGAGACTAGCTGCTGGCTTCCTTCTTGGGTCGCTTCCAGGGCAGGGCCCCCCGCAGCTCCAGGCACAGCACCCCTCCCCAGCATCTCCTGACCATCTTGCACTGCATTCCTATCGGTCCTCATTCTCTTTCCTCTCTTGCCTTCTTAAATCATTTCTCCTTTCCTTGCTGCTTTGGGGACTTGCTGTGAGGCAGATGTACAGAGAGCGTTTCATGGGGTTCCTTCGGATCTAACAAAGCTGATTGCAATGAGTTTTTTAAAGAAGAAAACTTGTCTTGAAAACCCTTTGTCAGGGAGTGGAGACCCCCACTGCCTGTAGACCTCCTCTTTGGGTTTGGCTTCTGTTGAGTCTCCTCTCCAAAGATCCCTAACACATGCACTGCACATTAAGTAGAACTCTATCCCCTGAGAAAGGATCAAATATTTGCACTTGCATCTTTTCTCTCTCCACTCCAGTCTAATTAATTAATTTCCCCAGAAGGCTATGTGTTCTGTGTAGTCTTTTTCAAACATATCAGATAGTGGTCTGCTACTGTTGGCTTTCCATGTTATCCAGAGGAGATAAAAAATCCCATGAGTCACCTATGTTTTCATTGGGAAGTTTGAATTAATTTCACTCGGCAAGACATGTCCAGGGAAAAGTCCCCTGTGTTGCAATGTGCTTGCAGATGGATTGCAGGAATGAGAGACAACTTTCTAACTCTGGGTATAAGGTGCCTTGTCTTGTGCTAGGAATCGAGGAAACAGAAGGACCTGTAAGGCTCAATTTGAAAACACTTGGAGCTGAGTGAAAGTGGTCAGGAAGTCACTGCACTCATGCTGTGTAAGAACCATCCAGAGCATCCAGGAGGGTGGGAAGCCAGGCAGGTGCCACGATGATGCTGTACTTGGGGAAGACTTCTTCGAGGAAGTGACTCCCAGCACGAGGACCTCTCAGGACACAGGCCCCAGGAGAGGTGGGGCTGAAGGACTGAAGGACAGAGGAGCAGAAGCGCTGGGGGAAACTGCAGGTCATTGATTCCATTGCAAACCCCACTCCAGCTCTGTCTCCCTGCCCTCAGGACATTAGGAAGACATCAGGGTGATGAGCTCCTGTCCCGTTCTGGAATTTCTGCTTAGTCAGAAATTCTGCATGGGAGGAATTGGTGACCTTTGCACCTCGTCCAAGACAGAATGAGCCACTTGCATCTCTGGTGCTCCACCTGGTACTCCACTCTGGTACCCCTGACCTTTGCACCTCGTCCAAGACAGAATGAGCCACTTGCATCTCTGGTGCTCCACCTGGTACTCCACTCTGGTACCCCTGACCTTGGCACCTCGTCCAAGACAGAATGAGCCACTTGCATCTCTGGTACTCCACCTGACCCCTGCTGTTATAGCTTGTGTCTGTCTAGAATATTTCTGGCATGCATCATTGTCTCTCAACACTAAGTTTCTGCCCTGGAACTTGCAGATACACAAACACAATTTGTAACTGGCAGTAGGCCTAAGTGCAAGAATGGCAATCCTTTGAGGAGGAACGCAGGTGAAGAATAGGGTGGCAGTTATAGGACCCATTCTCCATGGTCACTAAACTCAGGAATGGGATCTTACGTGAGTTATGAGTTATCTCAAAGGCACTATAATTTTTTGAAACAAAATAATGTTTCTCTTTTGTATATGAGGACACAAAAATTGACAAAATCAAGCATGACGCGCAGGCATGGGGCGGCAGGGGTCGGGACAGGGGGTGGTGGTGCCTGAGCTAGCATGACGCGCAGGCATGGGGCGGCAGGGGTCGGGACAGGGGGTGGTGGTGCCTGAGCTAGCATGACGTGCAGGCATGGGGCGGCAGGGGTCGGGACAGGGGGTGGTGGTGCCTGAGCTAGCATGACGCGCAGGCATGGGGCGGCAGGGGTCGGGACAGGGGTGGTGGTGCCTGAGCTAGCATGACGCGCAGGCATGGGGCGGCAGGGGTCGGGACAGGGGGTGGTGGTGCCTGAGCTTTAAAACAGCAGGAGAAATGTTAATACTAAAAATAGTGCTGGGTGGGAAGTCAACGTGTTTTAATTCTACTTGGGAAAGGGGGCATTTTCTTGGAGCAGCATAGAAGATGCTGAGGGCTTGGCCGGCCCTGTCTTCCAACTCGATTGCCGCACACTTCTAGCCGACTGGGCATTCATATCCTGGCTGCAAACCACTTGCTCTTTAAAAAGTGAGAAAATAAGGATGGTCAGTTGGCCTAGGAACTCTCAACGAAGCTATGGAATACATAAAATAAATCTATGCGATTGGTTGTGTCCTGCATGGGGCTTGTATGCTTTGCTCTCCTGCCTGGAAGTTTTTTGTTTTGATTTCGGTGGCTATTCCACGTTAGATTATGCTGAAGCACAAGCTCATCCAAACACCAGCACTTCTACTACATCCTTGTTGTTGTTGTTTTTTAACTCTGTTGTGTCATGTTGTGCCCTTCGCTATAAATAGGAAAAGCAGTCACCAACTAGCACACTTGGTCTTTAGATTCGTATGTTGCACGTGCTTAGCACCAGCCCATGTTTCGGCTGCTGTCTTCTGTACGTGCAAGGAGATAGCTATGAATTGTCTGTGGCCCAAATGCTCAGAGCTCCGTGCTCTCTGTGGGCTCGCTTTCTCTCCGTTGCTGCTCTTCCAGGGCTTTCTCTCCATCTGTAGAAGCTGGGAATCTGTGTGCTCAGCTAGGAGCATCATGTTTTCAATGGAAACTGCATCCTGGCAAGGTTAACGTGGCTAGCTAGCTACCCCGCATCCTGGGAAGGTCTGAGGGGCATCTCCTGGATTTGGCAGCCCCCCCGTAGCTCCAGAGTCAGTACGTTTGTGTGACACATCCTTTCCCTCTGCTTGCTGGTCAGCCAGGGGCTCCTAGCATTGTCCTCTCTGTGTGTGGTTCCACTAACGAGGTTGCTCAGCCTACCTCTCCAGCCCCCCAGTTGGTCTGCAGAGAGACGGCCCCTGCTGCCCTCAAATCTTCACCCTCCAAAATGCTGTGCTATTCTGAGAGTCGTGTGCTTGGCCATCCTCTGGTTACCGCCCACGAGGCTCATGGACAGCATGCTTGCCTCTCCTGGCCATGAACATTAGGAAGCTGGTGTAATGAAAGAGGCATTTGCAAGGCTAAGTACAATGACTCTCCCAATTGGCAACAGTTTTCAAATAGGTTAGAGAACAGCTGGATTCCCGAATTAAATCTGCAATATATGTAGGCACGGGCAAAATTTAATAAATAATAAAACTACTCTTGGGCCAGTTTTTATGAAGGAGGACGTGATTTGTAATCAAAACCAAATGAATTCTTTCTGTATTTTTTCCTGAAGCCAGGAAAAAGCTGTGAAGGTCTAAAAACAGTGTTTTTCTGTCTCCAATTTACACGTGCCCTGTTTTAACCTTCCATGATGGCCTGGAATGTTCCACATAGGTTACAGAGTTTTGCTAGATGCATGAAAGAAAGAAAATGCTGGTTTGACTCACAGTGCTGCTTCCGTGCAGTGTGTGCCTCGTGGGCCTCCAGTGTTTCGTAAGAGAGCCCTGACACATGGCATGCTCACTGTCAAGTGCTGTTCCTTTCATTGGTGCTCTAAGTTCCAGCCACATAACAGGCGCACAGAGAACCCTCAGCTGAGAATCAGGACCAGAAATAGGGGCAATCTTGTCTCTGATGCGAAGGTAGCAGATGATGAAGAACATAAACGAGGAAATATCTTGTTCATATGGTTGTTAAATGTGCTTTTTCTTAAGGACTAGCCTGAAAGTTACTGAGACAGGGAGAAAGAAAAATAACTTGTGTTATATTTTGTGTGCTCCGAGTAGATAAAGGACTACTTATATGAATTTGAAATCTTCTCTAGACATGGAAAATACTCATTCCAAATGATCTTTGTGTGTGACTTGATTTCCCCAAAAATGTTCAGTAGAGCAATGAGCTAAACATTTTAATTCCCAAACTCAACAGAGCTAGGGTGAAGTGAAATTCCTGCTTTTGCCCCCTTGAGGTTACCCCTTGCCCTTTTCTTTTGTTTTGCCTTTCCTTTCGAATCTGAGAGCCTATTTTGTGGAACTGATGCAATGGGTAAGTTAGGCAGGAGGTGGGATGTCACCCCTGTGTATAGAAACCTCCGTTTTTGCTCCCCAGGAAGTAGGAAGGGCAAAGCAGGCTGTCTGATGCTCTGAGCCATCCTGATGGGGACATTGTTCCACTCAGCAAGCAGGCTGTGGAAGGGGAGCAGAGCATGGGAGTGGAAAGAGCACCTGTGGGGGGATGACATCATCTCATTTTCAATATTGTGGCATTTAAATTACGGATGATTGGCCCTGAGCAAGTGATAGGAAATGCCAACAGTGAATGGGCAAATCTGCAGCCTCAATTCCTAAAGAGATTGTGACAGCAACTGAGTTCCTTTACACACCTGGGTGTCAAGCAAGTCCTGGAAAAGTGAAATCAAAGTCTGTTTGCATGTAAGACAATCACTCAAACGCCATGCTTTTTTGAACCTTTTGAAGACCTGTGTAAGGGAGCCGCTTATTTCCTGTCAGGTGTGATGGGCTCTGATTGGACGTCACTGGCCATTACCGTTCCCCAGCTGGCAGATCAGCAAAGCGACAGGAAAGCACTCACTCTGACAATGAGCGTGTGTGCTGGGAC